AAAATATAATAGTTTTAATTATCTAGAATATATTCATTAAAAACACAATTTTCTTGAATATATTATTATATCCTATTTATATTAAATACATCGCATGAAAAAATTTGTATATTATCATTTTATAATTATATTTAAAAAAAACATAAACACCTTTTTTCCATTCATAAATAATAATAATAAATTATTTTAACTAGATATATATGTTATGATTTTTTCTATTATTGTGAATTACATAACGAAAGAATTATAACAAAAAATTTTTTTCTTATTATATTTTCCTACGAATACTTATTTGTTATATATAACAAGGAATACACAGGGTACATAGAATTGTCAAGAAATAATATTTTTATATTGGTTTTCCACTGCAAGTGTCTTTTTGTTATATTTGTATATATAATTATAATATAATCCTTTTTACGTGATATTTAGTTGCTGCGTACAAAAGGAATAAATTTATGGATTGAATGATTAGTCTTTTTATTTCATTTTATTTTTTTTTATATTAAGTAATATTACATTAATTGAACTAACCCACTTCAAATAAATAGTAAGTATTTGTTCTAATCTGATGACAGCCTAAATTTTAGCTACTTCTTAATCCTTATATTGACAAACACATTTAAACAAATTTTTTAATTAGTATATACTAGTTTGACAAATATTTATGATAATATGAACTGCTATAATATGACTACAAAATTAAAAAAAAGTAATTTATATAAAAACATAGTCCTTATAGCATTAATAATTTGTACATGTACTACACGAAAAAAAAAATGTCTTTATGTTCAACATGTAAAAATGTTTAGTACATATATATATAATATATGTAAATAACAAAAAAAATCTAACCTTACTAAAAAAAAAAAATATATATGCAAACAATTGTATACTCTTAATTAAAGAACATCATTGAAATAACCATGCATTTATGCCTGAATAATTAAAACTTAAAATTTATAACCTTTCCAATATTTTTGTAGACATATGTACATAAAATATTGGAACACAATCGTGTAATGCCCTTGAGAACATAACGTTAAAAATTAATGTATTACACTTATATATTGTATATATGTAATAAATTAATTTATTTGTGTTTCACAAAAAAATAATTATAAATACATCTACTTTAAGGGTCCTAATTTTTGTACATATGTATTATGGATACACATAAAAATTCCCCTATGAGTAAGTTAACACAGTGACATATAATGCTAGAGCATGTTTTATGTATGTCTGAAGTAATTCCTGTTGAAATATATTAACATAATTATAGAAAAATATTATAATTTAGTAATTATTTTAATATCCAATAGTATATATTTTATTAAACGAAACTGTGGTACTTGAATTAATTCGTTTTATACTGTCATCGTCGTTATTTATGAATTGTGTAATCTCTAAGACGTCTGAACATATAATTCAAAAATATATTATTCTCTCCATAATACTCTCGCTAACAGAAATATTTTTAAATATATCTTGATTTTTTAAAAATTTTAATAAAAATAATATAAATGTTTTAATTACTTTCTTCTTATAATAATGTAGATTTATTTATTGAACTTATTATTTTATCTCAATTAGTCACTCCTTTTTTTACATAATATTTATGGATCCTGAATAGCATACTTATTATTACACGAGAATGAAATGTGAAAACGTTATGTAACCTTTAAATGAAACACATAATCATCATTACTTCTTTTTTTTATTTTATTGCAGCACTGTAGCTACAAAGGGGCCAAAACCCATATATATTCAATACTCAGCCGTCACAGATTAATTAATATTATTTTCTATTTAATTCTTCTAAGGATGTCGTGAAGTTACTTTCCACCTTTCTTTGTTATAACAGAAATATCTGTATACAACTGTTTTTAAACAAATGTTATATAAAGAATATATAAAACTGAAATATATTAAATTGTTATGCGCATCATATAGCTCATCTTTTAATATTTTTTGCACTAATTATTCCGTGTCTGTTCCCACAATATATACAACATCATTAAAACGAAATATTGTTCTCTTTATCCACTAATCGGAATGTATTTTTATAATAAATAAATCTTATTTTTTGGGTAGTATAATTTTTTTTACATTTAATAATAAACAGAATCTTTCTTTTTAAATTAATATACTGTAATAATTAGTATTTCCATTAATACGTTTTATTTTCATATTCCTGTGAGAATACGCACATATTAATTATATGTGCATCAATTTTATGGTATTTAATAATTAGTAATGTAATATATTGGGATTCTCTCCAATTTTAATATTCCATATATACATAGTTAATTCGAAATACATGTATACATTTATTCATGAATTGCATTAAATTTCTTTAAAAGCTAATAAAAATAAGGATTTAAAACTTTTGTATAGTTTTTCTTTTTGGTGATGCTCATTTAAATATTTATGATTCCTCTGTATAAAATATATATATTAATACATACCATTTTATTAAGTAATGTGATATTATACTGACTAATAAGCTCACAATTCATTTTATTTACAACAAATGTAACTCTTGTGTATATTATAAATTTTTTTCGCATGCTATGTAATATATTTTTCTATGTTAAATTATAAGCCCTTAAAATATCCAATTGGTCATTTTTTGTGTAACATTTTAAGAATTTTGAACATTATGTGATAATGAAAAAGGCATTTAATAATTTAAAAAAACTATCTTCCCTATTTGACATAATTATATATTTTTCCTTACCTGAATTATATAAACAACATAGAGGACCCAAGAAATTAATGTATATCTTGCGTCCTTAAAACAAACATTATATTATATGACAACTTTTTAAATTTATTATTTTCACATTTTTATGATAATCTGTATTTGAAAATTATTTTTTTTCAATTAACGTTGCACATATGAGTTCATACGTGATTTACATTCCTTTAATTATTAAATTTACCATAATGCATGTCATAATGTATATGAAAATTTTAGTTTCTTTTCCCTCCCCATTCTAGTGACAGATGTTATGAATCCCTTACTCTTGTGAATTCTTTATACATTACTCAATCATAAGAGGATAATAACCCACATTCTGTTTGTAGTACGGTTTTCCCTCTGACATTCTATCATAATAGAATGGATATACATGTGTTCTATCAAAATACAAATGGTACGGTTTTTTCTTTTTCCTGAAATAGCGATTCTGTACTTTTGAGAAAAGTACTGAAAGCTAAAAATTTTAATAAAATATATATAATGTGTAATAGATTTATTTAAAAGCTACGAATAAATAACTTAATGTTAATATACAATATTTTTATATATTAAAAAACACTTACAATATACACAATAAGCATAGGTATCAAAATTCCTAAGAACAGTAGAACGCCTGCAGCTTTAGTATACGTTGATGAAAAAAATGGATACATTTCAGGGGGAGGTTTTTCCTTCGGAGAGTCGTTTGTTTTAATAGCGTTATTTAGTCCATTTTGGTGTACTACAGTATTTAGTACTGATCCCACAGGCTCTAGTGTTGCAGGAACCTGCAATACGGAATGATTTTCAGGTATTACAATAGGTGGATATGATACAGTAAGTTTTGGCAATGGGTCAGATCCTGATAACCCATTAGAGTCTTGTGATTCAGTAAGTTCTGGTTTTACAGGAGACTGCGGCTGTTCACCTGATTTTTGTAATATAGTATCTTCTTTTGATACAGAAGATGTTTCTAACTTATCAGTTGATTGAAATCTAACACCTTGTTCAAATTCACCATTTGGTTTTAATTCAGTAGCTGATTCTAACCCAGAATCTTGTTCTAATACACCACCTTCATCTGATTCAGCAGATGGATTTAATCCGGAAACTGTTTTTGATTCAGCATGTGGCATTAATCCAGCACCTAACTCTAATTCAGCACGTGTTTCTGGTTCAATAGGATCTTTTGATACAATATTATATCCTATTTCAACGGATGGCTGTATTTTAGAATGTTCATCTGTATTTTTTAATAAGATCACTTGTGTGAAAGTTAGATCTTTCGGCGGAGTTTTAGAGACACCTTTATCTTCTTTAACTTCAATTTTTTTATCATGTACAGCAAGGCATGTTAATTTTTCTAAGTTTCCTTTATTCTTTTTTATTCCCATGAATTTTTTAAATATTTGACACAATGTATCATTAGCTGAGTCACATTTAGTTCTTACTTCATCATATTTCATAAAATAGTTATTTAGATGCTTTTCCATTTGAGTAGTGCACACTACATGTCTTTGATTAATAGTTTGTTTAACAGTTTCATAGTCATGAATATAATCATAAATCATCTTCAATTTTGAAAAATCATCTTCACTTGTAATACTTAATAAATCACGCATAAACGCCTTCCGATCATCATATTTATCTATTACTTGAGTTAGTATTTCCATGACATTTCTAAAATTGTATTTCCCTTCCTCTATTTTTTCTCGTGCCCAGAAATACAAAAAATTCCAAATTTCATCTTTTTCTTCAAAATTATTTATATCAAATGCACCATAAGCGAAGCCAGATATTAATTTTTTAGAAATTTGAATGTCAGAATGAGTACTGATCCTATATTCTATTTCATCCCAAAAATTATCATCATCAATTACGGAATACCCCTTATTTATGTTCCTATATATTCTCTCTGAAGGTAAGATACTTAAATCAAAATACTAATAATTAAAAAGTAAAATAAATAGAAACATACAAATGATTAATTTGGAGAGGCATATATAAATATATTTAAGATATATTATTAATTTCAGGCAATAATAATAAAATAACAACTTAAATGTAAAACATTTATAAGCATATCTAATGCATTTAATGGCTTCGTTAACAACGTGAACAAGTGAAAACTACAGACATGTGTAATAACTCGAATTCTAAATATTTACACATATTAAATTATAAATTATAAAAAATGGACATCTACAATACACAATTATTCTAAATAGTAAAAACTACAAGTTAAATATTTTAAAAACTGCTGCTTAGGGTGTTTTGTAGCACGCTCATTACATATATAAACATATATATATAATATATTTAAGTGCATCCAAAAAAAATATAGTGTAATAAAATTATGTCAGTAGAAAAGAAAAATTAAAAATATGTCTATTTTTTTCACTCATTTACATACCATTATTACAACATTTATTATGAAATGAAATATGATTATATTGTAATACTTTTTCCTGAGTTTAGGCGTTCCATATATATTTTCCTTTATTTGTGTCTTCACACATTTAATAAAACTTTTAATTTATTTCTTTTTCTCAATTTCAAACATGTATCACCAACAAAAAGGTATCAATTTAATTATATAAATTTCACTCTAATAAACCATTTAAATTAATAGCTACATAAAACAAACTTTTAAAACATAATGTAGGAAATAATAAATCTAAAAAATTTAAAAGTGTTATTGCATAAAATTTAAGGACATATTTAATAAATGAACACTAAATGCATGTTAAAAGAACAAAAAAATAATATGTCTATAAAATAGTAAAAAAATTATTTTTACGGATGTACATGCATTTTCTTGCTTCATTATTTCTGTGATAAGTGAAGCATGAAAATATAGCCCTTTTGATAAAGTTTTTTTGTTTTTTTAAAATTTTATTTTTATATCCTTTAGGTTTTTACATACCACATATATATTGATATTTGACTGTTTTTCATTGTTTTATATTTCATGAATAATATCATTGTTAAACATTTTTGCAATTTTATTCAAGCGTGCTTATTAAAATAGATATCCAAAAGGAAACTAAGTTATTAAATTGTAGGATCTATAATATTTAACGAACTATTTACTGTAGCTTTGTGTCAAAAACAGCATTTAAATTTTTGTTATATAAAATGTAAATCATTTTACATTTACATTTTTTAGTAGCTAGATGCTGCTTTATTTTAATATATAAAAAAATGACATAACTATAGGTGATGATGCCATTGTAAAAAAAAATTTTGTTCTTCAGAATGAGCGTTTAGATCTTTTAATATTTTAATGACATGAATTAGGTAAGAATATTTGCTCCAACATATTTTTTTTATGTGCATATTTTGTAATATTCATAGGATTTTTGAAGAATTCTGAATTAAAGGGGCTCATATTTGTTTGAAGATAATAAATTTGGGTAATTATTTTATTATAATTTTCATTTTATTCAAAAGTTATTATTGAAAAAACTCCACAGATCTACATTTTTGTTATAGATCATAAAATAGTATCATTTAAAAAAGAACAAAAAAACAAATAAAATAAATAAAAATAAAATAATGAAATAGTAAAATATAATATTATAATTCATCTTTGGCGCAAAAAATAAACACGTGTTAAAACATTACGTTTATGATACAATGTTCAAATACTTATGAGGTCTATAAAAATATTATTTCGTAATAATATTTTTTATCAATATAAAACTAAAATAATATATTTATTTTTATTGAAATCAGTTATTCTGTTAAAATGTGTTATGTTTCTGTTTATACCATAAATATTGCCCCACTTAGTTTTTCATTTTTCTAGGATACGCAAAACAAAGTCTATTATATGTATGTAGAAGGTTTATGTTAGAATACTACAAGGCATGCTAGTTATATATATTTTTTAGTCCTTTTTTTAACAGGCTATCGGACATTTTCATTGATTAACGTTTATGTTTATTGTTTCTATATTTCATGGTGGATTAAATTATTATATGCTAAATTTTATTTGGGTGCACAGCATCAATTTTTGCACAGTGACTTATCATATTACTTCTACATATATTAAATTTACGAGATATATTTAAAAAAATGTATAACAGCAATAATTTTCGGTAGCCTTAGGAATGTTTTTTCAAAAACTGTCTCATTTTTTAGAAATATATAATTTTTTTAAATATCATAACCATAAACAATGTGTTTAAACACTGAATAAATTATATAATTTAAATAAAATTGTTAATAGTTTTTATTATACAGAATATAGTTGTATAATAATCATATAATTATGATTTTTATGTCTACAATGCTTGTATTTTACACATGTGATATATGGTTTTTTTGTCGAATTTCCTATATACAATTTTCATGGTTTAGTAACATATCTTATAAGGATAATTTTTAGGAAAACTTAAATTAATATAGAAGTAATTATACCTTAGGTTGGTTTATGTTTTTTAAATATGCCAAAGTACAACATATTATATTTTAATTAAAAGTTTCTATAATTTTTCAAATATTTTTTTATTTATCATGTAACGTTTGTATTTCAGAATATAATTTAATTTTTTTTTTTTTTTTAGATGATAACTAATTTGTCAGATTTCATTTGCAAAATAAGAGAATTCAATGAACAGAATTTTATTACTAAATATTTCATTTAGTTAGAATCAATGTTACGTATTATAATTCTATAATAATAATTAAAATATAATAATATATTGATGTTTATAATGTCCTCTTTAATATAAATGAGAAAATTTTTACGTATGCATTTACACAAAAATAAATACAAAGATAGACTGATTCCTACAATCATTATTTAATTCTATGAACAAAAAAAATAATAAAAATATTAAGATATTTTTAAAGTAATATGTGTTTGAAATGTATCAAATTATGTGTTATACAAAGGAATAAATATAAAAATTCATTATAGTATCAAGGGAAGCAAAATTATACTTGGTATATATTGTTTCCTGCATTAGACATGAAATAAGTTTTATGTTCATTAAGCATTTGCTCTGAACTTACATTTTTAATTATGTATTATTATCAGTTTATTTATTACAATTTATTAGCATTACGTTTTAATTATATTGAATATAAATAAAATTAGTAAACTATTATATGCTAATAATTTAAAAAGTATCTATACATGTTTATTTAAGACACACAAACCTTTATATTATATATAAATAAGATAGTAAATTGGGTGACTAATTAAATAAAAAGAAATGTTCTAATATAAAAAGGAATAAAAGGCAGTTATTCCATGGTATTATATATACTTGATGATATAAATAATTTTATTACATGTTTATTTTATTTTTAAGGAATAAACATTGTGCATCCGCATTTGTATGAAGATACATATAGCTAATAAAAATCTGTATATGTAGAGATCTAATCTATGCTTGACAACGTATACTCTCAAAATTATTTTAAAGATAAGAAAACCATAAATGATAAATATTAAAGTAAAACAATAAATTAAATTAATGATATATATTCCTTTTTAAAGGAATTTATCAAGTTATTGGATTCTATGAACTCCTTTGAGAAGATACTTCTAAAGATCCTATTGTTTTATTTAGTGTATGATTACATAATTAAAGAAATAAATTTTAAATTTGTTTAATATTCGTTCATATAAATAATAAAATTACGGAAATTAATTAGTTTATAAAATGTGTTTACAATGCTTTAAATAAAACACTCCTTTCACTTTAATTTTACATCATATTATGTCTTCATATTTCCAAAGAATTTGCATGATATATGTCATTATGTTTAAAAGTATAAGAATAAATCATGTAATAAATGCATTTTTTGTTTATTTCACAACACATTTTCTTGCATTAGAATAAAGATAATTCTTCGATTTGCAAAATATGTAACAGTTTCCTTGAATATAATTCATTTAGATCAATCAGACGCTTTATTTGAATAATTATTACAATTATCTTAATTAAACAGGTGATAAAACATATGTTTGGTATATTGTTATTTCAAAATTACTACCTTTATAAGAATAGTATATATGTTTATAATTTCATACGACATGATACGAATATATAATTTATATTCAATATTGAATATCTCCAAATAAGATTGGAGGTTATAATGTGTTATATATTATAACACATGCCTAAGGCGAAAATAACAGATGTAGCATAATTATTGTTTTTTACTTCTTAAATAAAATATATATATTGTAAATATTGTTTAAATAAATACTCCCTAATCATGTTTTATTGTTTTGTTCAAATGTAATTTCAATTGTAATGAGAATCTTTAAAGAAATAGAAGTAAATATATCCAAATTCTTG